GCATCCCGGTAGGCTGCCTTCCCTGCTCTCCCCCTCCTGCGCATGCAGCGATAGTCCATCCCGGCTATGCGGATTTAGCACGGGGCCGGTGCCTGCGGGGTTTTCCAATAGTGCCGCTCCATTAGGGCCCAGCTCTGCTCTTACAACAGGCAATGCCAAAGTTCCATTGGCTTCGCGGGGGCAAGAGCAAGCCCTTAATGGCCTGGGAAGGTAAGGCTGTGGGTTTTTTCTGGTGGTATTTTTTTTGTTTTGTTTAGTTTTCGGGTTTTTTTGGTGGCATTTAAAACCGTGGCACTTCATTTTGCCTATCCAAAACCTGGGAGAGACCTCAGTGTCTCCTGCAAAGGCATAGAAGAGCTGCTAAAGCTCAAAGCAAACAGAGGAGGCATTTTTCCTCTGTCATGAACTTGCACACAGCTGCTGGGGTAGTGCTATGTGCCCTGCTCCACTCCTGGACAAAACCTGAATGAATCATAGAATCATAGAATTTTAGAGGTTGAATAGACCTTACAGATCATCCAGTCCCAACCCCCTGCCCTGGGCAGGGACACCTCCCACCAGAGCAGGTTGCTCAAGGCTCGTCCAGCCCGGCGTTGAACACTGCCAGGGTTGGGGCATCCATTACCTCCCTGGGCAACCTGCACCAGTGTCCCAACACCCGTACAGTAAAAGACGTTTTCCTAATGTCCTAATAATGTCCTAACCTAAATTTCCCCTCCTTCAATTTAAATCCATTACCCCTTGTCCCATCACTGCAGCTCCTAAGAGAGTCTCTCTCCAGCTCCCCTGTAGCCCCTTCAGATACTGAAAGGCTGCCATAAGGTCTCCACACAACCTTCCCCAGTGTTTGAAAACTAACATGTTTGTTCAGCAGCACAGACATTTTCAACATCGTTTCCCAATCACAGAAATCCAAACCCATTTTCTCCCCATTTGAGATTGTTGTGTTTCTTGAAAATATTTTTAGTTGCAGTGTGTATCAAAATGTTCTGCTGAGCAAGTTTTGTGTGAGTTGAAAGGTGCCAATGATAATTTCTTTTCAAAAGGGTTGTCCAAAAGTGTCACTAAAAATAAAACATGAAACAAGTTTCTCAAGTGTCATTTCAAACAACAACATTCATTTGAAAACTGGCAAGAGTGACAGCAGCATGGTTAGTTGTCATGGGGTAGAGGATCTGAACCAGTGCCTGGATCTTATTCATAGGGAATAAGTCCTTCCTCTCCCCATTATCTTTCTGGTATTTGAATAGCTCTCAATAATGAGCCAAGTAAGAAGTTCAGAAGTAAGACAGGAAAGAAATATAAATTGTGATCGAATAAATAAAAGAAATGGTGTCTTTCTCCTGAAAAGCAAGCTGCTAGCCCCTTGGGATTAAAGGCAGGTCTTGGAGAAATGATCCCTCCATCAGATCCTGGAGTAGGGAGGGAGCCTGGGAACATCATGCCCTCTCATGCAATAGAGATATCTTCTCTGGATACACAGGGCAAGGAGGTGTCATCTACCTGAAAAGTGATGCTCCACATCAAAGGATAAATACACCAGGTGTGTCTGTGGTTATAAATAGCTTGGAGTGCTGATTTGCAGAATCCTTAAGAATATTGGGTCTTCCCTACAGCAAACAGCCTTCCAAGATGGATTCTCCTGGTGGCTTTCCACAGGCTGCATAAAGGAGTCCCCAGCATACAGCCAGAGAGGCACTTGTCAAGACAGATGCTGCTGCTGCCTGGCATTTGTATGTCTGTCACTGGGGGTTGATGGGATGAAGCTGTGGTGTAGTCCATCCTATGTGAAGTGTAATCCATCCTACAATGGATTCTGCCCCCATATGTGGCATATGCGTGTAGGTATGTGCAGTGTGTACTCAGCCATGAGATGGGCAAAGATTTATCCATCACCTCTGTTCTCCTGCGCTCTGGTCGTTCCTCTCTTTC